TGTGGATAGGTGCGGGGATTAGGCGACAAATGGTTTCTTAAGTACTCCGTGTTTCCCTAACAACCAAGATAAGAGTTTAGAAGCCACATGCTATAAAAAACAAAAAATGGTGTTATGCATTCTACACTGAAAATTTGTCATTATCGCTAGAAAGAGAGCTTTTTTTTCCCCGTTAGGTTCACTTAAAGGAAAGCTGACCTTTGTTATCACACAGATATCAACATTGCTGCCACTACCGAGGTCATTGAATACTCCGGACAATATGGCCTCTGCTACTAGCTTTATCCCTTCATCCCTCTGCAACAAATTCCCCTCAACATTCAGGATTCATAATACATCTACCAGCCAAATGCAGCAAAGTATTCTAGCTGAAAGAAACAAACTTACGTTCATCCCTTCCCGGTATTTTGACTCAAAGATAGCCATTGCTGCGAGGGAACCAGAGCCCATTGTGGCATATGGCAGAGTATCAGTTGATCCATGTGGATAAATCTGAGAGGCGATCGATTGACCAAATAGTGGAACTTTGATGACAATGCGGAAAAATATATACACACACGCCCACATACATTTATATACATACTAATACACAAATATAAATGTGAAGACTACTTACAGTATGCAGATGGGGACCTGTGACATCCACACCACCAAGGACCAAAGCAGCTGAGACATGGCCTTGGTAGCTGGTAAAGAGAACATAGTTAGGCTTCTAGGATTGATTTTTTAATGCACTCGAAGACACTACTATGCCTATTAGGAACATTAACAATAGAAGCTTTACCTGAAAAGGTGAGACTTCAAAAGAGTAAGAGCTGTCACAACCCTGGATTCACGACCAGTGTGAAACCTATGAAGCTTCAGCTGGGAACTGACCATGTCTAGAGAATAACAGTTCTAAATTAACATTAAGAGATGACATAGAGCGGGGAGAGAGAGAGAGAGAGAGAGAGAGAACCGGATTGGAAACTTAAAAGGAGAAGGTCTATTGCAAACAATTTCCAAAAACTGCTAGAATACGTATATAAAGCTCATTACCAGTAACCGCCTCTGTATCAGCAGCTGTCCCAGCTCCGCAGCAATATATATTAGGAGCCATGTAATGAATTTTCTCACAGTTTTTATCTGCAACAATTGGCCCTTCAGTTGCCCGTGTGTCCGCTCCAAGGATAACACCATCCTGAACAAGAATCATGCTCAAGAAGTTGATTAAGGGCTACGATTCCAGATTCTGCATGACTTGTGCATAATCGAACAGATAAAGTAACCCCAAAATGTCACATTTTCTAACAAGCATGTTATAATATGTCAATTAGGCACTATTTCCAAGGTCTGCTGATTCATCATGCAAGGGCTCATGGAAAATCAATAAGAGCACTACAGATAAAAGCCAAATTGTCCATAAAAACAACAGAAGAGGGAAAGAAGAGAAAGATGGGAAGGAGNTGAAGAAGCAGCAATCTTTGAGAAGTACTATTCATTGAAATGCAAATAACTCTTATTCAGTTTTTTATCAGCATTACTATTTTAATTTCATTCTCTGGAAGACAACCTAAATGTGTTTATAGATAGTTAAACTAAACCGAGAAGTATAATCAGTTGAATGAAGTTAATACCACAAAGTAGAAACTACCGGGTCTCAATTCCAGACAATGACCTACATCATGATGCCCGTCTTTATTTTCTCAATAAGTATGATGTTCTTTTCTGGATCTTGAAAGACTACCTTCTGCTTTGTGACCTCATCAACAGCTTTTCCTCAAGCTTCCTGCTATTTAAGTAGAAAAATATGCATAGTCCCTACCTAATTTCCTCTCTTGCTAGGCAACTGACCAAAACTCAAAAGTGCGGGATTTCATCATTTAAAAAAATCAACTATGGCGTTTGGTAATGTATGTAGATGAATTCTAATCCGACTGAAGAAAGCACAAACAGAACTAAGCTTCAGTTTTCTACACTAGCATCTTACAGTAAAAGGAAGGCAGAATACATAGTTTACCCCTAATGTTGAGACCAAATCCATGTACACACCTATCGAACACGGCAACCCTTTACATACCCAACCTTTTCAAAATGTGTCTAATACAAACCTAAGTTGCGCAGACTCTTCGTTTTTGGTGCCGCACTTGTCAAGACATGGGACGGGTGCGGGTGCGGGATACGTCCCGGATTCGGTCAACTAACTTCGGATACCTAAAACCAAGAATGCAAGGGGTCGTGTTCTGATTTCGGACTTCTGGTAGACAGTAGCAGCGATGAAGAGTTGGTGGAAGGCCTTGATGGCTTTCTTTTTCTCTTTATAGCTCTATTTTTTATAATTTTGAATTTTCATAGTTGAATCCCTACACCCGTATTCATATCTGGATCCGCACTCCCGAATCTTAAAATTTAGATTTTGCCAAATCCGACACTCGGATCCGTGCCCGTATCGGATACCCGCACCCGAGTCCGAGCAACTTAGATACAAATCATTTTTTCCAGGTGGTGCGCACTTGTTTAACAAAAAAAAATGAGCGCATACAATCGGTAAATATTGGCCCCAATCCTTATTAAGTGCCATGTGTCAAAATTTTATTGGTTTCCAATTTTTTCTTTTATTTTCCTTATTTTCTTTAATTTCTTCTTCCCTAACGCTAGCCCTCTTCCATCAAGACCACCGGCCACCGTCTATTTACGCAACCGTCCTCCTTCAAAAATACCATAATGTCATATTCCCTTCTTTCTTCAACTTTCAGATGCAAAAGTTTTAAATTCTTTTCTTTTTTGAAAGATCAGATTCTTGGTGTTAATAAATAAGATCAAAGTCCATGCATAATTAATAGGCATGATTGGTAAGTGAGTAGGCTCCTCTATAACTACTATTCGGCCATTAAAATCAATCAGCGACGAAGCTACTGAGGCCAAAATCCGACAGCGATGAATCCACCATTTTCACCGGCAAGATTTGAAAGATCTTCGTCCTCTGTATTATCACAATTCTAGATTTGGAAGATGAATTTTATCTTTTACTTATTTTTCTTTGTTTACCAGAAACACGACTTTTTGAGAAGAAAACAGGACTATGTTCCAATTCTTGATTGAATGAACAGATCTGGAAAAACAAATAGTCTTTTGAGTATTTCTGATTTTGGGTGAGATGAATTTCTTGAAATTATTGATGAGTTTTCATGGGGTCTAAAACTAACTATAATAGAGGTAAGCAAACAGAAGGAGCGGGTTGGTGGAGAGGAGGGTTTGGAATTTGTCTTTGGGGAAGGAGGTGGAGAAGATGATCAAAAGTGGGGTTTGGAAGAAGAGGAGGTGGGTGGGGGAGGGGATTCATTTATGTTTTTCTACTCTAAATTTTTCTTTTTTTTTGGCCATTTGGGGTGCAAATTAGATATTTTTTTTCCTTGAGCTATGACACGTGTCATGCTTTAATTGGCCAGTGTGATACAATCTCCAAGAAGGAGTGGTCTGGTCAAAAGTGGTATGTCTCAGACACAATTGTGAGTGTGTAAAAGGTTACCCGTGGTTGACATGGTTGTCACAAGAATAAGGCCTCAAGCCCAGGGGGCAAAATATGAATTCAGCCTAAAAAGAACACAGATTGCAGACGACTCATGCGTATGGTTAGACTATTAAACGAAATACATTTTTTTGACCAAGAACTTACAAGGAAATCCATGCAGCATTAAATGACATTCTAATATGTTCTTTCCTCCTTTTTCACAGTAGTGTTGATGTCAAACTTCTGGTCGGATGAACTAAATTATTTAGCAACGCAAAAGAATGCAGATCATACAAGCAACCAGCTCAAGAGTCACCATATTGTACGCTCTAGTCAGTTGCTGATTATGTTGAACTATTACAGTATAATTAATTTCAACAAATTGTATGATCTCTATGATGTCATATGATTCTATTGCTATTTTAACTAAAGCACAACACTATATTGAGAAGAATTTCTTATGAATGTAGTCAAACGAAACCAAGGTAAGCTTGGACCACTATAATGTTAAAACATCTTTGCTCTTAATGGTTCTCATTTCACAACTTATGTGCTAGATTCCAAACATCTCTGAATTGCCAGATGAGGAGAACAAAATTCGCTCTCTCTTTTTTGCTCTGTAAATATAATAAATTCCTTTGCACTAAATTAGGTCTGAGCAGTGTTATATAAGCACACCACAATGCAAGAGGCATTGCCAACATGCCTTATGCATGGCAGAGGTGAAACTATGCTGAGGAGTTATCTTTCTTGAGTGAGGCCTTCACCTGTATGGTTTTGGTCTGACGCTTTTACACCCTTATTACAAGGAGTGCCCATATTTGAGTGAGGCCTTCAAATTTTTACTTCATTTTTTACCTTAGCCAATTAATAAGAGGTGTTTCCATCATAAGATCATTTAAAATTCTCTCTGTTTATTTATGTATTTAAGGAAAAGCAAAGTGCGTGTCCTAATCTGCAAAAAGCAGCAGCCTTTCCCCTCATGCCGGATCCTCTCTCCCTTTTGACCACAACTTTCATCAATGTAGCTTCTCTCGCTTATTTTTTATTTTTTCCATTTTTTTCTGAATCATTGATCATATTGAATTTTTAAGCACATTAAAAGAAATAAGTCCTATAAGGCGTTCGCTTCACAGCTTGAGGCATACATCTCACTTTTTAGCAAGAAAAATAGCTTCTCTATTTTTAATACACATGTGGTAAGCTGTAGGAGGTTCACGATCTTGCTACATCAGATTAACAGAGCATATCATACTTAGAAAGAGAAGACTTTGAAATGAAAACATTGAGTAGAGTGAGTGGAATTGGGATATGAATAAATCTATGTTTATTATGTTGATATGAATAAGCTTTCCGGTCTTGAAGCTCGGGAGGAATATAGATAATAATGATCACTTAATAGATAATAATGGTCAGTTATGGTAACGTATTCCATATTTTCAAAAGTCTACATGAAAATTGTGTGAGATCAAGAATCCTTTGTTTCTACTTACAGCAACAACTAAGCCTCAATCCCAAACAAGTTAGGTGGGTTGTATGAATCAGACCATGTTATAATCCTTTGTTTTTACTTATAAAAAAAAGGAAAAGAATCCTTTGTTTTCCGAGAACCCCTAGTTTACCTTTAAAGGAAAATGATTTAGTGTTGGAATGAAATGAACCCAATAATGTAGAACAGATGGGAGATTCATATAGCCGACCCAACAAATTTTGGGGTGAGGCATGGTTAACTTACGTAATCCAACAATAGACACATAAAACACAAACTAAAACTAACCCAAACGAAATTTTTAGCAAAGTAAAAAGGGGAACGGACCTGAAAAATTAAGCCGACGATGGTAGTACCAGTCTTGAGAAAAGAAGGAGCACGGAGTCCTTTATTGACCAGCATCTCATTCCTTCTACATAGATCAAAACTAAACCCACCTTTTTGGGGAACATCCATTGTTGCCTTAGCCGTCATTTTACCTCCAAATAAAACCTACCCACAGAGCAAATGTTAAAGACAGGAATGCAGTATAATGGAACTGTGAATCGGTAAGAAACTTAAAACCCTTAAATTAAAGTTCTTAGTAGGGACTTACTTGCTGCAGATGATGAGCTGAAAAGGCAAAGTTCGGAATCGGAAAGAGAGATTGTGAAAATAGCCAAGGTTTGGAGAACAAGAAAAGGAGATCGATTGTGAAAATAACTGGTGAATCTGCTATGGACGGGTAACTCTTGGCTGCTTCGGTTAAGGCCCAAAATTTATTCAGTTGGGTTACCCAAATAGTCCACCGAATTTAGGCGAAAAATTCATAAATAGCCATTTTTACTCCTAGTCAATCAAATTAAGCCACATAATCAAAAGTCAACCTTGTTTAGCCACTAAATTAGTACGGAAAAGTGTTATTGACTAAATTTATCCCTACTCTATTTATAAATTTACGCAATACGACCTCACACTCTATTTATCTTGCGGCATAATCTACAGATTGAAGTAAGCTCTCAATTATTCTTCTGATTCTTCGAATTTTCTGGTTTGATCTCAATGCTTTAATCCGTGCTAATCTCGAATTTTTTCGATGCGTTAATATGTGCTTAATTGTATAATATATCTTCTTGTTTGTAATTCAGATCGTAACTAATAAAATCTGTATTGTTCTAATATTATTATAAATTTTATATGAAAAACCTTTATTCTCTGCTTAATTGTATAATATATAAATGTAATTTAATTTAAAGTAATTTATATTATAGTACTTGAGGTATCTTTAATTCAAAACCACAAAAAATAACATAAAATGGTGCAGAACAAAAAGTTAGTATAATATGCTGGACTTTTCTTAATTAATATCTAAAACTCAGAAACGTCCAGTTGATTATACTGGAAGTATATGTGATTCAAATAAGAATAACACATCTAAGTTTTTAAGGTTCTCCTAATGTCTTGAATAAAATGCTAGACTTTTATGATTACATATGTCAAAACTATAAAGTGTACAGCATATAGTACTAGAGGTATTTTTAATTCAAAATCAGAAAAAATACTGCATAAAATGGTGTTATAGTGCTTAATTCAAAACCAGAATAAAACATAAGTATAATACGCTGGAGCTTTCTAAATTAATATGTAAAACTCATAAAAGTCCAATGTATTATACTGGAAGTATCTTTCATTCAAACTACTACAAAAAAAATGAATAAAATGGTATAGAACAAAATACCAGTATAAAATACTGCACTTTTCTTAATTTAATATGTAAAACTCAGAAAATTCCAGTAAATTATACTAGAAGTATCTGTGATTCAAACCAGAAGAAACACATCTAAATTTTTAATGCTTCCCTAATGTTGTGAATAAAATACTAAACTTTTATGATTACATATGTGAAAGATACAAATTGTGCAGCATATAATACTGGAGGGATTTTTAATTCAAAACCAGAAAAGACAAAATATCAAATGGTGCAAAAAGTTAACCCCAGTATAATATGCTGGACTTGTCTTAATTAATATAAAAAATGCAGAATCTTCCAGCTTATTATACTGGAAGTATCTGTGATTCAAATAATAGACTAGAGCTTTCTGAATTCATATATAAAACTCATAAAATTCCTAATATCTAATTATTTGTGTACATTAAATGCAGGATGCATACAAATTTCTTGAATATTGTTTTCGATGGCAAATGGACACCAGATTACAAGTATTTAGATCATAAAATAAAGCTTCTGCTTATAAATGATGGGACTTCATTTGACGAATTCGTGAATAAGATTTTTCAAGTTATGGAGTTCGACAGGAACAAGTTTGAAGCAACAGTATGGCTTAATATCAATCTAGGTACTGGCAAGGGAATACATGTGACAAAAGATGAAGAACTTACTTCATGTATGATGCTTTTAAGAAACGATCCATACTACAAAGGTTCTAAATTTGTTGTTGATATATCATAAATACTTTCTGAAAACTTTATTAGAGATCAACAACAAGAAGGTAATGTAATAATGGAGATTGACAATCAACAATTATTGAAGGGAACCACATATGTTCCAGAAGAGCAACTGATGCTGATTTCTGAAATACCAGAAGAGCAAGACATTCCGATTTATGAAATTACAATAGAAAATGAGAGTGTAATTCCTGTAGAAGATCAATACTTTAAAACACTAGACACAATTGAAGGGAGAAAAAGGAAAGCAAAAGAAAAGGAAAAAGAATCCTCATCAATAATACTAAAGGAAAATGCATCATTGGATGATGTAAAACTGGGGTCTGTTTTTCAAGACAAAAATGCTATGATTAGATGTTTTTGCTTAGCAGCAATAAAGGAGCACTTTGAGTTCTATGTTAAAAAATCAAGTAATATAAGATACTCTTTGGTATGTACTGATGAAAAGTGTGGTTGGACTGTTCGAGGTTCAAGAATTAAGGAATCAACACTTTTTAAAATAGTTAAATTTCAGAGAACATATGAATGCTCGGTTGACATTAGAAAGTAACATCAAAGATAAGCAACTTCAAATGTGATTAGAGATTACATGATTGACAACTTAAGAGACATAACTACTGAAGTAAAGCCTAAGTTTGTCATTTCAGAAATGAAAAGAGCACATGGAATAGATGTTGGTTATGGAAAAGCATGGCGTGCTATTCAAAAAGGGATATCTTTATTAAGAGGAACAACAGAAAAAAATTATGAGCAGCTGCCATCATATTTATATATGATCGAACAAAACAATCCAGGATCATATACTAATATTAAGAGAGATGCAGAAAACAGGTAAATTTCTTGTGTTTGTGGCCACACATCTGCTAATATCCTTTGGTATTCAGCTTGTCATATCGTAAAACTAAATTTTATTTACTTTTCAATGTAACAGGTTTGTTTACATATTTTTTATGTATGGGGCGGCAATTTATGGGTGAAAGTATTGTAGACCACTTATTGTTGCTGATAGAATATTTCTAAAAAATAAATATATAGATGTTCTATTAGTGGTAGTTACAAAGGATGCAAATAACCAGATTTTTCCTATAGCATTTGGGGTAACGGATTCAGAGAATAACGAATCATATGAATGGTACTTCAGAAAATTAAGAAAAGCAATTGGTATTCGTAAAGATTTAATATTTTTGTCAGATCCACAAAAAGGCCATTGCAAACAGAATTGCAAAAGTTTTCCCTGAGTGCTACCATGGTATTTTCATATATCATTTAGAGAAGAATCTAAAGCAAATAAGAGTGAGAAACACTGTAATAAACATGTTTTAAAGTGCTGCAAGAGTATACATTCAATCAGAATTTGATGACTTTATGTCCCAAATAGCTGCTGTTGATAAGAAAATATTCGACTATTTGATGGAGGAACCACCAGGAATATGGGCTCGTTCACATTGTCCAAGACGACGATATGATATGCTAACAACAAATATTGTTGAGTCAATGAATAATGTTTTGAGACGTGCAAGAGAATTGCCACTTTTAACAATGATGGATTTCATAAAAGAAAATTACAAATCTGGTTCTATGAAAGAAGGACATCAACAGAAGGAATATTCCGTGAATTATCAAACTGGGCAGAAGCAACATTGGAAGACAAAATAAACCAGCTTTTACATTTAGAGTATTGCCCATTGATCGACTCAAATTCAAAGTCAAAGAAGGAGGTATGAAATTTATTGTTGATCTAAACAAAAGAACATGTGATTGTTCTGAATTTCCGCTAGATGAGATACCCTGTGAACATGTAATTGCTGCAATTGACAGTATATATAAAAAAAAAATCGGCTTTCTGCTCCGCCTATTATACAAGGGACTTTTGGTTAAAAATATATGAAGGGCAAGTAAATTCTGTAGGTGATTCAACAACATGGGTTATACCAGATACTATTAAATCGGAAATCACTAAGCCTCCAGATGAAAAAGTTATTCTAGGAAGAAGACAGAAGAATCGACATGTTTCCTGTACAGAATTCAAGAAGGAATCAAGATGTGGTCGTTGTAAAAGATATGGGCATAACAGAAAAAATTACACAAATTCAGCAGTAATTCATCCTTATGCAAGAAAATACAGGAAAAAGAATGATTGATTATATAGAATAAGGTTGCATACGCTCATTCAAAAAACTAATTGTAATCCAGAATAATTTGCTCGGGATTCTTGTTTCTCAAAATATTATTAGTGTATATTTTTTTTGTTTCTTGATTTGAAGTAAAAATGACCGTAATCTTTGTTTCTTCTATAATATCATACTTTTCTGCTTATAATATACTTATCTAGTATATTATACTAATCTAGTACATTAATAGATCGAGTATATTATGCATGAAAGTTTATGAGTTTTACATATCAATTCAAAAAGCTCCAGCATATTATACTGGTATTTTATTTTTGTTTTGCAATATTTTATGCAGCATTTTTCTCTGGTTTTGAAGCAAAACTTACTGGCTTACAAATGAACATACATCATCAAATACATTATATAAAGGAAGTGATTATGAAAAGAATAAAAGAAGTTTTGTATACATCTAGGATAAAATACTGGATAATATGATTTCAAATGATAGATCTCCAGCCAAATATACAGGAACCAAATATTTTGTAGTCTTTAATTCCAGCCAATTGTTATGGATAAAACTTCTGCATTGTTTTACTATTCTCCATTATAATATACTGGCTTATAGCGCTTCATAAGTAGCATTTCTCGCATAATATACAGGAACCAAATAAACACAAAAAACTCTATCTAATTTTACTAGAATAACATCAACAAAAATTATGAAATCCAACTTATTATCCATAAAAAATATAAACTCCAATCCGTTAATCTTTATTTCAATCAATAAATCGCTTCAAATCCAGCAAAAAAAAAAAAAACTGAATTGTATACATCGAGGATAAAATACTGGAGCAAATACTTTCAGGTGATATATCTCCAGGATAATATACAGGAAGAAAATTTTTAAAGTCTTTAAGT